TTATAAAAATGGCAGCTCATTTCTTTTAATTTTATTAACAACTAATTATAACTTATTTGCACATGTGCAGTAGCTGACTACTCATTCAGTACTCAATACCATCGATACTGATACTCAAACTATACTTGGCATCGATTCAAAATTTCTGGTATCGCCCACCTCTAAAACAGCTGGGCCTTAAAATCAAATAGTGACATTAATATTTTTAAAGGGATTTCGGCATAATTAAGTTTATTTATTCAAGGTAGCAGAGCGATCAAACGCTCCTCCAAAAATTTTTTATTTCCTGTTAACACTTAAAATTATCGAACTGCCAGTAAATGTAGTGTTACAGTCCCATGACTTAAATGCTGATAAAACTGGTGAGGCTATTGTGGGTCCTAACCACAACAGAATAATGACATCATTCACTTCCTGTTTTTATAATGATTATTAATTTTGTAATTAAAGCAATCATTATTTTCAATAATTAGACTAGCAATTTCTTTTTTAAAGCATAAATAACAATAATAATAATAACAATAATAATAATAAAGGGTCACTTTTTCTCTTTTTTCTTTAGGAATCCTTTTTTGTTTTTTGTTCATAATAATAATAATAATAATAATAATAATAATAATAATAATAATAATAATAAAACAACTGGGTGGTTGGACCCTGACATAAATATGTACACTTTATTAAGTTTATTTTATTTAATTTAGTTTCAGAGCATTCAAAAATGCTCCTCCAAAAATTTTTTCTAGTAAGACATCACCTTACCAAAGCAGTTGCAGTAAGTTATACAGTTTCATCAGTTAAATGCTATTAAAACTGGTGAGGCTATTGTGGGTCACTAACAAGAAAAGGATAATGACATCATTCACTTCCTGTTTTTATAATGATTAGTAATTTTGTAATTAAAACAATCATAATTATCAATAATTGGACTATCAATTTCATTTTGATAATAATAATAATAATAATAATAATAACAACAACAACAGTTTTGTTGTTTATTACCAATTAATGTTATGCCCTCTCTTCATTACTAAAATTTGAGTACTATCAACAATGCTGCACTGCAAAGGTATGAAAATTAAGATACTTTAACAAGTATTAATGACTACATTTAATTATTTGACGTTATTATTATTATATTAGTAAGGATTTTGTTAAGAGTCAAACTTACCAATACTCTCACTAATGTAAACACTTTCATATGATAGTGTGACATTAATACCTCTGAGTTGACAGTTTTAAAGTTAGTTACTTGGCATTGAAGTTAGGAGCATATGCTCCTCCAAAAATTGGTTTACACTATTACTGAGATAATGAAGATTGATGAACTTTCACAGCTTCATTAGTTAAATCCTGTTAAAACTAGTGAGGCTATTGTGGGTCCTAACCACAGCAGGATAATTACATCATTCACTTCCTGTTTTTATAATGATTATTAATTTTTAAAATTAAAGCAATCATTTTTATCAATAATTGGGACTAGGAATTTCATTTTTAATAGCATAAAGAACACAATAATAATAATAATAATAATAGTAATAATAATAATAATAATAATAATAATAATAATAATAATAATATGAGTTGTAGTTTTTTTGCCTATTTAATTGGTTCAGCCATATATTTTCCTAAAAATAACAAAAATGTAATTCATAATCATCCACATAGTCCTTACCTGAAAAACACTTGTTTTTGTGGAGAGAAATTTTGTAGGCGGGATTTTCTATCGCCATGGCAACCCCAGAGAGGGTGCTACCATCACACATGAACTGAATGAGCGCAGGAGTTGGGACAGTAGGGCCAGAAGAAACTTCAAATCTTGACCTAATGGTACATGTATCTGGAGGAGGAGGAGGAGGGAGAGAGAGAGAGAGAGAGAGGGCAATTGACGTGAAAGATGTAAAGATGTGATTCTTGGGTACCGTATGTCTGTAAAAGTCTAATCCCAGTACATTATACAAAATACATGTACATGTGCGTATC